CCAGATTTGACTGGTTTCTACTGGCAGCTCAACAGTTTTGTTTCTGCTGATTTATCTTTGCCCCCTCCTAATGATTTTTTCATAAGAGAATAATTCCTCTTTAGCTTTAGTAGTCCTTTAATGCTGAAATGAAAGCAAAGCATCAATTAGGAAAAGGTTTAGCAAAGAACAAAGAGCTTGTTCAAGCGAACACGGGGACATTTTGCCTGTAAGCGGCTCATAAACCAGTTCTAGAAGAGCAGCGTGCAAATGCTAAGTGCGCATATTGCTATATTGCACACTGGGTTCATATTGCGTCGCTAAAGAATATTTTGCATTGTTATATAACATGCAGAACAGATCCTTTATGTTTTATTTTCTGCTAAGATTTGCACATTTTGTATGCACACATTAGAATGCAAGTGAGAAATAAGAGGATATTCTAGTCTTTGGTGAAGGACTGTTCATGCACTCAGTCAACATCCTGCAATGCAATCCAACTGAAGGGCACTGTAGGCCCCTTTAAGATAGGCTTTCATAGTTGATAGCTGCTCTTCCCCCAGCGTCGGGCAAAGGGCCCCTTTAATCATATAGGCAGATGCCCTGGATCCACTGGTCCACAGACCAGTCCCAGTCCTACCAGACCCAGGACCCTTTATAGCCCCACCATTGAGCTACCAATATCCTGAGTGAGCCAGTGTCAGGAGGTTGGCAAAAGCATTTATTTGATATGCTGAGGGCCCAATATGTAAGCATGTATAACCCCTGCCTACCATTCCGATCTCAGTGACTTGATCACACGTACATTCAACCCCCTTTTAGACTAAAAAGTAAAGTTATGTCAAGTCATGTCAAGTCATGCTGGAGCTGTAACATGTAAATGAGACAAGAAAGTCTGTATACACAGCTACCAAGAGTTGAGATCTGCTATTGGGTATGTTACATACTCTTGAAGTGTATCTAAACCCAAGAACAGAAAAATAAATATATTGTTATTCTTTTTCTAGTATATGATGGCATGGAGACAGAAACCTGTTTGAACATACAAGTCTCTCTTCTTATACTTGGAATTGGCATGGTATTTTTGTGTTGTTTTTTTGTACTGTACCCACTAGTTTCTTAATGTGACCCAAGTCTGGAAGGGTCTGCATATGCCATAAAGGGCCAGTGCACAAGTCCAGTGTGATTTACACATTCGTGCCATAAGACTTCTACAACATGAGTGTGTAGCATTATATTTTCTAATTGCTGTGCTGTGCCAGTGGGTACCCTAAGCAACTGAAGTGTGTGTGCAAGCGTACAGTATATATGGGTTGATATTGAGTGTGTATGGCGGCTACTTCTCACTAAGATCAATAAAACACAAAATCTTCTTTATTAGTAAGAATGCAAGGTTAGTATACTCCATGCAGACAGAGAGGCAAGCAGGAAACATTTGGAGATCTCGGAGGCATGCAATAAAGTAGAGCAGATTGACACATGCCAGAAGCAAGCTCCAGGAGACACAGCAAGACAAGCAGAAGGATCTAGCAAATAAGTTTAATGTATTAAAAAATACAGCTGCTTTTCTGCAATGGCCAGACATGAAGAATTCATTAACATTACAGAACAAATGTACCTTCTCACGCATCATGTTCTCTAAACTAGGCACAGTCAATGTGCAGGTCGTCCCAATAGCTTGAGCTTTGTGAATTATCCAATGCTCATGTTATTCTTTGACTCTTTAAACTCTTAAAATGCTGATACGAACCGTAACAATGTCAGATTGATTATATACAAATGTACAAAAATAATATGGAGCTACCATTACTAACACAGACTTCGTAAGGTTTACTTACAGACCATCATCTTAGAAAAATAAATTGTATTAACACTGGTACATCTGGAGTCTGAGAGTGAAGACTTAACCTTGACAGTCTATATGGGTTGAAATCTCCAGCTTAGGAATTGGAAATGATAATATGGGTTCCCTCAAGTTCAGGCAGAAAATGTCATAAATAAAGTTTAAATATTTTATACGTTGGAAGGGCAAAATGTTTTAATTAAATATTTATGGAGCTTTCTAAGTACACCGTCAGTCAATATGGTAAAATGGTATGGCCATTTTTTTAATAGGCTGCAGCAAAAAACTATGTGTAGTTATCCATATCAACCAGATATGAATAATTACAATAATGAAATATGTATTTTGATTGGTTGATAGGGATTACTACACTTACATGTTTTTCTTTGTGTTTTTAAACGAAGACTTAAACAACTAAGAGGAAGTCTGGATATGAATGGCTTCCTGGCGCAGTGTCCACAGTTATCTTCTCTGGTCATCTTCT